TCCAGGTTCTTTGAGAGAAACCATGTCAGTTTAGATGGAGGTCCTGGATTAGAATCAGGAATGGAAAGACATAAGAGCTGCTACCTCTGTGTAACCACTGAGGTTACACCTTGAAGTAGCAGCTGGGCAACATTTGGTCTCTCTGCTCCTGAAATTGTTCTACCTAGCCTAGTCATTAGTTTTGTGCATCAAGAAGAAAACTATTGAAACTGAGATTTTGTATGGGTCACTACAGTATTTATAGCTCTTAGCTTCTGACTCCATTTATTCTCGTTACTTTGATTTCCAGGCTTGATCTTCTGTTATGATTGGAGGGTGGACCTCTGGCCTGCGATATCTAGCTTCTGCTTGGCAGTTGTTTTATTTAATTAACTATTTATTTATTTAGTAAAGTTACACGGCCACCCATCTCAGGTACATGACTGTGCAGCTAACGGTTAAAAACAGAATAAAAACAGTAAAAAAAACCCAAGAAGTTTTTAAAAAACAAAAATAACATAACAGCCAAAAACTCAGTTAACACAATCAAGGCCAAGAAACAGACTCACCCATACCATCAGGGCCCCAGGCTTGATGGCAAGACCACATTTTCAATGCCTTGCAAAAGGTCAGTAGGGCCAGGGCAAATCTAATCTCTGGGAGAATGATGTTCCAGCGGGCAAGTGCCATGGCAGAAAAGGCTCTTCTTCTCTTGGGCCCTGCCAGTTGGCAGTCCCTTTTGGGTGGGACTCGGAACATGCTTCTCCTACAAGATCTCACAGGATGGGTAGACACCATTGGGGAGAGAACATCCTGTACGTTTATAGCCTACCTCAAAGTTATATTGGTATACCCAGGGTTTCTCAACCTTGGCAACTTTAAGACGTGTGGACTTCAACATGCTGGCTGGGGAATTCTGGGAGTTGAAGTCCACACGTCTTAAAGTTGCCAAGGTTGAGAAACACTGGGTATAACCCTGCTAGGGGTTTAGGGAACATATACGGTCATCAGCTATGAGGAAAATATTTGTGGCTATAGGATATACAGTACAGACGTCTTGCTTACTCACAGTTCAGTGCCACAGTGTACAACCTCAATCACAGCAGAAAGTATCTTCAGGCATCCTGCCTTTAAAGGCATAAGAAATACTGCCCTTAAAGCTTGCGATTATCCTATGAATCACTTAGCTATGTTGCTTCATGGCTGTAGAGAGTCGGGGCTGGCAATGGCTACTTGAATGAGACCAAACTCTGTATGGACTAATTATACACATCATCATCATTGGGTTGTCTGCAGCAAGCCAAGATTTCATCAGAATGAAACCCTTTCGAAATTCTGCCCTTTACTTACTTGTATGTGATGTTGCAATTCAGGTACACAAGGAGCAGAGTTTGTGTTGTGACATCACAATACATATTTTCCACTTACCCCCTTTGCTCTCCTGCAGACATGTCCTCATTTCACCTCTTTCTTGTGTACCAGCATGTCAATCATGTGCCTATCCCTGCTGTTAATTTAGTGCTGCCTCCCTCCTTCTCTTCCTTTGCTGCCTAGGATGATGTGACCAGCCTTCTAGAGTGGTTGGCAAGCTTTCACAGAGAGGATACCAACTAGCAGATTTTTTCCAAGCTAATAAATAGAAACAAAAGAAATAAATGGGGCAGAATGTTTGGATCAGCACTTGTGGCCAGTAGACATGCTGAACTACTGTAACTCTGCTTCTACAACTTGTGATTTCCGGATGTGTTGGGACAACCCTTAGAATGACAGCTGAGAATTCATGGTCTTCAAGACAGCAGGTCTGAGAAGACTGAATTATGACTGACCTAGTCATATAAAAATTTGACTGTGCTTGATTCTGCGTTGGTTCAGTCATTGTGAGGCTTCTCCTAGGATTGCAACTAGTCAGCCTTGGCTGATTTCAGAAGACCAAGCAGTGTTGAAAATATGTTGCACTGTAAAGGCAAAGGATGTCTCTTTTGAGTCAAGCTTGTCTCTTAGGGATTTCATAGATACACCTATGAAGCTTTCTTGGTTGAAAATACACAAGTGGTTTGTTTTGTTCTGGATTTTTATTTTTTTTTGTTAACTTCCCAATCCAGCCAAGGAGAAGGCTCCTACTATTTCCTGGTGGTCCTCCCATCCAAATATGAAGCAGGCCTCATCCCACTTCACCTTTTTCAGATCAGTCTAGGTGAACTAGGGGCTGCCAGCTAGGTGGTGTTTCATTCTTACTTCCCCTCAGCTCCCTGAGTTGGTAATCCATCTTGAGCATACAGTATGCCATTAGTTTCCTCTGAGAGGCCCCAAAATGGAACATGTAGCCCCTGACAGCAAAAAGATCTAAAGTAAAGAAGGAATCCTTTTCTGAACTCAAATATCCCCGAATATTTTGTATGACAATTCAAACTGCACATCTGGATCTGTACCACTGTTGCTAAGTCCAGGAAGTCTAGTATGAATTTCCATTTCATGGTGTAAGTCATCTACTAAACCTACTTTTGTCCCAAAACATGACCTAAACCCAGGCTGAAACAGATCCTGATATATGCTTTATCCAAACAAATTTAGAGTTGAGATACTCCATCTATTCTAGGCTCTTATGCATAAAACCCTGATTTGGGAATTGTTGGCAACTATCTAAGTTTCTGAGTCAGACAAGGGTGTTTATGCATCAACATCCCTTGTTATTTAGGGAAGTTCATATGATCTTGTGAGGTAAGGTTAAACAGAGATAGTGTTCAAACAGGACAAGCAACTGAGGCCATGGAAATTTCTGAAGGTTTACTTTGCTTCCAAGTGGAAGTACCTCTTTGAAGATGCTTTATGAAACAATGTGTTCCTCTTCTGAAGAGTGAAGCAAACCTGTTCCTGGGTTTTGCTACACATCACACCAGTGACCTCCTCTGCCATTGAAGAACCAGAAAAAGCTAATGGAGGGACATGGAGCATCTCAGTGGGACAGAGTTGCCACTGAGGCAAATTGGGACTGCTTCTCACAGGTCAATAAGAAGCATTTCAAACTGTTGCCCCCACAGGGGGAAAAAAACCTTGTTGGGTAGGAATAATGAGAACCCAAGCCCCAAAAGCTTACACACTCCAGGTTTGGGGAAGGCTGGCTGGCTGGCTGGCTTCCCCAATCATAAACAGATACATAAATAATATCAATCATCATCAGCTTCATTCATTTATTGACCCCACCACCACCACCAATCACTTCCATGTCATTATAAATTCATCTGGATATGAACTGCTCAAAGTGACATTGGCATTTGCTCCTAATCTTTCCCCGTCTCAGTGAACCATTCCAAAAACAGCTATGACAGGAAACTCAATGTTCAATTTTCTTAAGACAACATGCACTCCAGAAGGAATTGCATAAATGTTTACAAAAATTAAGCAGGAAATACTTTCCCAGGGTAGCTCTTGTCTTTAGAGTTTTATCGGGTCATGAAAGCTAAGATTTATTTTAAGCTAGAAGTTAACAGCTCTCCTCTCATTTCCTGTCTTCTAACAGAGTCACAAGGCACATTTTGGAAATTCAAGTGGGACATATTTACATTAACTTAGATGCAAGTTTATATTCTTGCTTTCTGATAGTAACAAGTTCTTTCTTACTATTTGTTGATACAATGCTAAATAGACCTTGAGTTGAGCTGCACCATTATTCTACATATAATGATATTCTGCCCAAAACGTATGACAAATTTTGAGTTATGCACCTACACGGCAACCCTGTAAAATACTCATGTTAGAATTGATGGAAGGATGGCTTTCAGCTGGCTCTCATATATTACGGATAATATGGCTTAAATCTTCACTAACTTTCCCTGTGGATTTGAGGGGGACTCTAAGTCACCCCAACTAAGACTGGAAACACCCCTCTGTTCACAAGTTTTCTTTGCAATTTGAAAATAATCCCAACTATCTGAAATAGTCCCATATTCTTGATTTAAAAACATTACCCTGCATTGGAGGCTCTGGATATCTTAGGGGCAGATGGCATGCCACAAGACACATACTAAGAAAGGGCAAACGAATCAATTGTTATTTTTCTCCATTTTTCATTTTTGTTCAAGTTTCTCATTTATGCCGACGTCTGCGCATTTTGATGCACGTATCAAAGGTATTTTTGTTTGCAGTTGTGCCTGGCAAACCTGATGTTTTTTGTTTTTGCAAACTATTTGCTATGCTATAGTGCACGCTTCCATATATATGCACGTTTTTTCCTACAGTCTTTCCCTACTGCATTTGTATGTGGTAAATTTCACTGTAAAAATTGGAGAACTGCAAATTTCAAATAATGAAGAAGCTTGGGATTATATAACGGTTCAAAAAGGCAGAAATGCCCGTGGTTGCATGGAAAATGCGGGCTAAATGAATATTCTCCCTCATCCCTGATTAATGATGTGCCATCAAGTTGGTGACAACTCTGAGCAACCACATGGATAGACTTTTTGAATCATCAATCACTTATAATTTGTGTGTGTGTGTTTCTATAAAATACAGGAGCGGTTTACCATTGCTTTCTCCTGCACAGTATTAAATGATGCTTTTGCCATTGTCACTGAAGTATCTTCTGCCTCCAGCATCTTCCTACATCACTACTATATCAATATAGGTGCCTCCTTGCTTTAGGTGGGCGGCTGCGATGATCTTCACACCTTGGCCAACGCTACTGGGAGCATATTCTCTTTGTATACATTCCTGGCAGCCTTTGGTCATTCATCCCAGGAACAACCCCTTCCACCATAAGGCAGCATAGTAGGATTTGGGGGAGGCAGGGGGGATCCCTAGTACTCCTACATCTTTCCACAATCATTTTCCTGCTGTTCTCTTCTTTCCAGTACAAGCTGTCCACGGCAGATGTCTTACAGTGAGTCCCAAAGCAGGTTTACTTAGAAGTAAGTCCCCTTATCTTTAAGGGGCTTAGTCATTAATATACTGTATTTAGAATTCATGCTTTTTAGTGTACTTGTTCAGCAAACCCAGAGGAGAAATTGGTCCTCCTCTCAGCAGGCAGACACAAAACAGAGGCAGACTTATGCATTCAAGATCACTCTTCCAGTCTGCGCTCTTAAATATTTCACAGCCAACAGATAAAGTTTAATAAACAACTGTCACTGCTGCATAAATCTACTGGACAATGTACGATCTCGACTCTCCACTTTTCAAACCCACGCTGATGCATGCTCTAATAGGTCTCTTCAGTGCCTGTTTAAAGCTCTAATCAAAGGGAATTTTCAATTTATTTTGCTCTCCAGAGTTATACGGGAAATCTTATTTTAGCAATTATTGAGAGTGGAACAACGAAGGGCATTTCCTGCAGAGCTCAGCAGTGAGCAGCATGGAGAAGCAACGGTGGAAACATGAAACTTTCTTAGTGCTGTTTCTTGTCCTGGTTCAGATATTTGGCTTAGAAGATGGCAACCGACAGACAGCAGAGATCTGTTCCACGCATACCATTTTACCTGGACCGAAAGGTGAGGTGCTAGAAAGACTTCTGAGGTAAACATCCCTGCAACACTAATGCCCTTTTCTATGATTGCACCCTCTCCTCTTCCTCTCCTCCTGCAAGTTCTTATGCCATAAGAAATGGAAAATAAGGTGGCCAACTTTTCAGCTGGTTCCTGCGGTGATAACATTGCTGAGTAACTTATCGTGCAAGCTTCCGACTTTATTTTTAGTGCAAAACCATGAAAAGGGTTATTTGTGGAGCCTTTAGCAATTGACAGGCACAGAACGAACCAGCCTAAGCAGAGGCAGGAAAACTGGCATTTTAGACTGAGGAATTATGGCATGAAATAATGAATATTTCAAACGTCAGTTGCATAATTTCCTGCTATTAACCACTGCATTTTAGGATCCAAACATTTTCATCTATCTGGCTGCAGCCATCACAATAAAAGAAATGGAATGATGAAGGGCTGATGGGCCTGTAGCATTTCCTGAGTTTATTTTTTGGCGAAGAAAATGCATGTGCAAATGTTTTAATTGCAGTGAAAGACAACCCGCTAGCCCCAGCATGTTACCTAGAATTTCTGATTATAAATTCACATCCATATTTCAACAGCTCTGGAAAAGATTTTGTGTTGAATCTAATGCTGTATGGATGAATTTTGGAAGGCCCTGTACTGTATAACTTTTATGTTGCAACCAATATTGTCTTGACTACTGTAGAATTAGGAATAGGCCTACGAGCAAAGATAGGCTGTTCACGTGTTTATGACTGAAGCATTCTGTTGGCTGAACCATCCCTAACTTGGTGTCCACTATATGTATAATACTACAACTCTCAATGATGATGTTTGCTTGGCATGATGGGAACGGTAGTCACACACACATAGAGGGATCCAGGTTGGGAAAAGCTGGTTTAGTACACCTCAGCTATGAGGCTGAGTCATAGCTTTGATAGTTGTACCTTTAATTTGGGTCTGTGTGCTCATCTCTTGGGGCATATTTTGGGCATAGCAGCTGCCAGCACTGCCATCAGGACACACTGCATTTGCCTTACCTCCACCAGAATGGGAGGTTATGAGTTATTCTTTTAAGTTGCACACAATCAGTGCCCTATGGCATTGTGGTCAATTTAAAGTAGTAGCCTCCATGTCCCAAAATAGGGAGCAGCAACATAGGAAGGATCCCGGTGTAGACTGTATTGCCCAAGTCTTCCTGAAATGCAAGTCAGCTATGCCTGGAGAACGTCCTGAAATGGGATGCATTGAAAATTACAGTCTGCAGCTGGGCTTCATCTATAGACTACCCCATTACAGGCCAGCATTATGTGAACCCAGGCTTTGTGGTTAATTAATGGTTTGGCATCTTGTACAAGTTAAGTCAGTAAGGAGAGCACAGTTAAGCTAACAATATACAGCATAGCTATCTACTCCTAAACTTGATGATTCCAAACTGTTCAAATATGCATCATGTTACAAGCCCCACCCTTTTGTATTTGCATTGCAGCACTGCATAAAAGTATGCCATGGGAAGAGTTACCATGATGTGGTGACACGTGTGTCATGCTGCATCTATGCTATGTAGCAGTGCGCTTCTTGAAAAGAAAAATTAAGGACTGGAAGCTTCCATTTCAAATCTTAGACCAGCCCTTATCACTGTGCACTCTTACACAAATCACAAGAGATCTTTGCTGGCATTCATCCTATTTGTTGGAGAAAATGAGGGCGTGCAGCCTAAACATCTTAGCACAAACATTTTCAGGGCTGGCTCACATTTGGGAAAGATTAGAAGTTAGGTTCTCCCAATGTCATCCAGGTATTTTGAATGCTTCTCACAAACTTTAATGCTAATGTTCACAGGGAAGTTACAGGTATGTCTGAGGCAGGCTGTGGACCCTGCCTGGATCACACAGAGTTTTCAATCATGGGGACGATGATACACATCTTCTTACTGTCTCTCTGATCAGTGGGAGACCTCAGCAGAGATACTAGGTACACTCTCAGTGTTAGATTATAGCTTCTGAAATTTGTACCCAAGCTTTCCAAGCAGAGCTGCCTCAGATAGTTATAAACTGCTTAAGTGGGGATCTCTCTCTAAATTATTCTGCAAAACATCAAGCTAGCTAAATAAACCGATTCAAAATCCAGAATGTACACTGAAACAGAGCATACATTTCATCAGTTCCAGTAAAAATGTATTTAACTAAAAATTGCAGCTGTGAGAGTTGACAACTGAAATCCTATAGCATGGATGATCTGATATCTCAAAGCCCATGCTGACTTTAAAAGGCAAAAAAGGCAGAAAATACAACAGAAAATAAAGGTAAAATCTCTCTCCCAAGTACAATTTGGGGGTCCTAGTAAATACATGGACATATCCATGTTGTTGCTGGTGAATAATAAATCTCTACAGTACTGAGTGCTCAATTGGGGTGTTTGATGCTGCCCCCTGGTGGCTATGAATAAGAACCTCTAAGGCTGTAAATGCTGAAAATGAATTGAAAGAGCTCATGCAACTCTACCACTTCTCCACTGTAAATTAAATCAGCTCAGCTTTGTTCAGGCTTTCACACAAACCTGGAAAAATGCCACTGATTTTAGGAATGGTCTCATTCAAGTACATGTGACATTCAGTTCTAATCTGCATTGTATAGCACTATTTCATTCCAATATAAAAGACACAGTCATCCCCAGGCACCCAGTTTTTCTTCTGAAGACTTTTAAAGACAAAATCTGAATAGTTCCTCAGAAAAGAACTAAAAAGGACAGAACAGCTTTCTCCTTTCACATTTCCTTTGTAACTTGGGCATAATGGAAGCTCAGGCTAACCCAAAAGTCATTTATTGGCTTGTCTACATTTATATCCTTCTGACTTTCTTCCATATTGACTTTCAAGGTGGCCTGTCTTGTTTTTTGCATCCTAAGTCTTCAGATTTTAGGGACAACTCTTCTTCAGGCTATGTCCATCACCAAAGTGACTGGGATTTGGAAAGATGTACACATCAGGAGGTCCCAGGAGGGGGAAATCCTCTCTACCTGATGTTATTCTTCTAGCCTTCTCTAAACTTCAGATATATTGAAATCAAACTCCCATCATCCCCAGCCAACAGGTGAGCATGACGATGGGAAAGGGTTGGTCTGAAATAAAAAAAAAAACCACACCTTTCCCCAATATATGCATTTTTTAAGCAATTGACAAACACCTCTCTCCCCAGTATTCCAAATTGTTTTAAAGAAAGTACAAGGAAGGGGATTTCAGCTGGATATTAGCAAGACTTTCCTAATGCTAAAGGCTGTTCAACAGTGGAATATGCCACCTTGCAAGTCTGTGGATACTCCTTCAGTGGAGGCGCTTAAACACAGGTTGGATGGCCCTCTGTTAGGGACACTGTACTAGAGAATTGCTACATTGGGCAGAGGGCTGGTCTGGACTCTGTCCAAGGTCCCTTCCGACCCATACATTCTATGAAAAATGGAACCATGGATTGCCCACATCTCCTCTGCTGATGCTTCTCACCTGCTGAAATCAATATGCACTATGCGTAGTTCGTATTGATTTTAGCAGGATCAGAGAGATTCAGAGAGGACAAGACTACCAGAATATATGTAGAATCTTCAGGTTTAAATACAATTAGGTCCTAGACATTTCTAGTTGGTGGGGAACAGCAGCTGGAGCCTGTGATTGAACTCTTCTGGCCTTGTAGCTTTCCTTCCCAAAGGGCTCAGGTTGGTCATTAGCTAGTTGCCATCAAATCAGGCTCAGCTCCTGGTGGACACATATGCAAATACGGGTAATCTTGACTTGAGGCCAATCATAAATTAAATTTCTTTCCAGGACTTTCCTTTGATCTGAGTTGGCTCTTTATGTTTTGAATAGCATCTTAATGACTTGCCAATTCATTTGATGGGAAGCACCATATTTTCCCATAAAAGCATTTGCCGTAATACTTTTCTCCATGGTTAAAATGCGCAAAGAGACAATGCTAATAGGTTGGAATTCTTTGCAATGCACTGATGATGTTACCAAGTTGGGTAATGAAAATGTCTGCAAGCAAACCGCCAAGCTCAGAGACCACCAAGGACTCCACAGTTCAACTCTGAGCTACAGATATTCTCTTCTATTGAGATCTTGTATTTGCTACAGCAGCCCAACACAGCTACCTCTTCCTGAATTATGTGACTTCAACCAATATTCAAACTGTAATTTTCAACGTCCTTGCTGAACTGTCCAAGGAAATAAGGACGTGCAATTGGGAAGATCTACTGATGTAATTGTATGATTGGTCCTCCACATCAAAAATGAGGGAAATATTGTGTGTGTTGGGGTGGGGGGGAAGGATGAGGAATAGCAATGGGCAATGAAATTTAATAGGAACTTCAAAGGGATTTGAATTGAGGTCCTGAGTGAAATCAGTGAAGGCATTTTTGAAGGGATAAAATGGGAGTATAGTCTATGGCAATGTGGTGTGTTTGGAGGGTTTCTCTTTCATTATTCTGACAAATGTCAATTATAAACTCCTTGACATCAGTCAGCACCTCCAAGGCCTGTTTCTTGTGGTCACTGCTTTTTGCTGCCCATCTAATAATCATAGTTGCAGAAGTTCCCCTCCGAAAAATGACCCTGCCACATTCTGAATTCCTTGCTAGAAATGGAAAGGACTTCAACACCACATCCTCAAACCTGGCAGAACTGTTTTCCTGTCGTCTTTCCAATCGCTCCCTTCTTGTCCAGGCCATGTGATCGCCATGCTTTAAAAAAATTAAAAATCCTAAAAGTCAAAGTTCTTTAGCTACATAACTCTAATCCTGCAGACAGAGGAACAAATTAGGTAACTTGTATTATTTATATCTCTATTTCACATGTGGCAAAATTGATTGCATTATTTCTAGCCTCAAAGGACAGCAAGCAGTTGTGTGAGGTTCTGTCCCAGGCTAGTAGATACACTAATCAAGAGCTTCTTTAATTTTTGAGATCTTATTGTCCATACACTTTCAAGCATGTCTTCCATGAGGGCTAGAAACTGAAAGAAAAATAGAAACTCTCTGGAAACTCAATTTTCTGTCAGTCCATGTCTGTGGCCTCTGTCAGCACTCAGCATCCTAGGCAGTTGTCCAGACCAACAGATGATGCTTGTCTTGAGGCATGCTTTATAAAAACAAACAAAACCCAGTTTACTGCTCTGAGCAGCATAGCTGCCATTTAAACTTTCAACAGTGACCCAGAGTAATGTTCTTTCAGGCGATTGTGGTTAGAATCCAGCTGTCCAACTCTCCCAATGGCTGGCTCTTGACAGACCTGGAGAGGGACCTGCTGTTCTGTTTTCCTGCCAGAGCCAATGCACATAATATCCTGATCACATTACACAGTAGGGCCAGCTTTTTGTTATACTCAAAGATGTCATGCCTTTAATATCCTGCAGAAATTAAGCAACAAAGCTTTTCACAGCATGAGATACAGGGGAAACCTAGATCTGCCAGGGATATAGCAGATGAAAACACAAACACTGCCATTAAAACAAGAGAACCTAAGTTAGCATCCCAGGGCAGGAAGTGAATGATACAAAGCCTTACCTTACTTTTCTTAGATTCCACTTCAGCTAGCACTCTAGGAGGAACAGAGCTGTAGAAGACGTGTAGGAGATTTTGTGGTGTTCCGGCAGCCATAGCCAGCATTGCAAAGGGTGAGGGGTGTTGGGTGTCAAGCACCATCTGAAGGCTCCCCGTCTAGGAGAACATCCAGAGACACAGTGGCTAACTAAATTAATTATAATATATTGACCTAGAAGTAACTTTTATTGAAATCATAGCCAGGATGAGCAAAAGTCAAAATCATCTGGATGAGACCTTTATTAGGGAAAGGTGAAGTCTTCTGTGAGCACCTCTGGACTCATCGTGATTTCACAGACACATCTGTATGTGGCAATAATATGGAAGTGCTTTGCTTCCTTTCCATATGTTGCTTTTTTTTTTTTTTTCTGGTTCTCAAGTATAGTTCACAGTTCTGAGATATCCTGGTGGTGTCTTATCCAAACTGTGGCTCTGCTTAGTTTTGAAAGATCAGCCAAGATCAGCCAGGTGCTGCCATAAAAGGGTATGAAAACTTTTGAAATGTCAAAAACTCCTCATAAGACAAGATGAAATCAAAAGAAGGGATAGAGAAGAAAGAAAGAATGTGAGAAAGCAAGCCCATTGCCCATTTGTTGATTTAAAGACAGTGTGTGAAAAAGTTAATAGGCTTGAATTATGGTGTGTTGAAGGTTGAATGAAGAATCCAGTAAGAGCAGTACATGATGGAATAAACCATGTAAATAAATAGAATGCTTAGCAATTGAGCAGGGAGGAAATTAAGGATGTGTCATATGCCCTTAATTGTTTAATATATTTATGGATAAAAGCATAAGGAGCAGTTGTGGTGACATTAGAGGTGTGTTGCCTGAAGATGTAAATGCACATGTACTTTTGTCTGGGTGCAAGGCCATGTTTTTGGCTAAGAACCCAAATGTTTCACAGCATATTGTTAGACTGTGTGCTTCAGCAAGAAATATGGATCTGAAGATTAATGTATCGAAGACCAAAGTAGTTGTGTTTGACAGGGAAGAGGGAGTGGACGAATGGACATTGAACAAAAATGGCAAAAACGAAAGTAGATGAATTTGTGTACCACAGTAGAATGCTTCCTGATGATGGAAGATGGACGGAGGAATGTTAAGATATGCAAATGCTAGTAAAGCAATGGTTAGCATGTGGTCCATTGAGAAGCATGAGTATTTGCCACACATACACCACAAAACAAAATGGCCGTGTATAGGAGTAGGGTTCTGCCCATTTTGTTACCTGGAAGTGAGAACTGGGAACAGAATTGAGAATTGGGAATGGGTTACTTCTAAATTTGGTAAAACGAGCCAAGATAGAATCAAGAATGAATATAGAATGGATACCAAAGGAACATTGTAGTGGGTTGCTCATACAGAGAGAATGAGTGAAGACTGAATCACAAAACTATATTTGAAGGCACAGAAAGGAAAAGAGAGGGAAAGTTGAGAGGTGAGAAATTTAAAGAAAACACGGCCATGTATGAACTCGATGTATGGATATAGTGAAACAAGGATGGTTTGCTAAGACAAAAGATATGGAGATGTATAGTGACTGTCATTAAATCTGTATTTAGCCATATTTCCTTGTCTTTTCCCTCTCTCACATCTTTAATTTATTTGGCTTACTATTTCTTACTCCTTTTCTGCATTTTGCATAATACTGCTTTCTCAGAAGGGGAATAGCATGATGGTTAGGTATATATTATGGGAGAGAGAAGAAACAATCACGTCCAAAAATTAATCCAAATGCTTGAGCCATAAAGCCTACAATTCAAAGTCACTCCCAAGATGGAGATATCAGCTGACTGCAGCGTCAGTATTAGGTTAGGACAAACCTTATCTTTAAGGATATCACTGCACCAGGTACAAAGCCATTACCATTTAACTATGGATCTGGGATCTACCAAATTCAGTGGGATGTAAAACTGACCAGATCAGAATTGACTCGCACGTCTTATTGTAGAAAGGATAAGTGGTATCCATTTACTTACCACACCATAATTTGCTGAGGAATGCCAAGCCTGCCAGAAAACAACAAAACATTTATTTTTTTAAGCATCACAACGCAGAACACCACAAGAGGGCAGCAAGGTACAAATCTTGGTACATTTTCCCATGATGCATATTATTTAACAGCTGAATTACTTAAGGAAATGGACTTTCACCCAGCTTAATACAAAGGGAGTTCTCCCAAGTTTGATCCTGGAGCAGAAAGGCCAGGGTGTGGTTTAAGCATAGTTTGTTGAACAAGCCATAATGGCTCAGATTGTGCATCATGTTAAGCCACAAAACTGGGTTTACATGCCAAAATGGCTGTGTTCGCCAAGTCAAAAGCAAACAAACAATATTATGGCTTAATGTGTGATGTGAACCCCACCACAGAATGGGCTGGGTGAGCTTATTTTTCTGGATGAAGGGCTTTGTTGTGGCAGGAAAATCCTTCAGGACCTGCCCTCCACACACACACACACAAATACTTAATTGCCTACCTACCTCATTTTAGAGGGCAAAACATCAAGAGGATAGGCACAGAGCATCATCTTCCCCAGTTCATTATTATTCCAGGGAAGATCTCGGCAACAACAGGAAATGCAACAAGATGGGCAGATCTTATGTGCAGTAGGAGAATTAAATCTATTGCCATCCGCATAGCTCTTTAAAGCCTGAAGTTTCTTTCAAGTCATGCTTGGTGACTTTATGGAAGGGGGGGTACATCTAGCAGAACAATCCCAGTTAAATAGCTAAAAGTCAAATCTGTGGGAAGAAGTATGTATAGAATTACATTAATCCACATGTACACAAAATGCCAAGCTTTGCTTTTCATCGGCAATATGTGGCGATGCTAGAACAGTCATTTTTGTTCCCATGGATACCAACATGCCTGGACACAGTCTCTGACTCTAATGATGAATTCTTCAAACTTCGTGTGTTTGTTTATAAAGGCATTCCTCTAATGCAATACATCCACGATTGGTGGATTTCAGATGTGTGGAGCTCAACTCCCAGAATTCTTAGCAAAGGCCATGCTGGCTGGGGAATTCTGGGAGTTGGAATCTACAAATCTGGAAGCTACCAAGCTTGGAAAACTACCACTCTTGGATAATTGATGTTTATATTTACAGAAACGTCTCTGGGCTACAGATTGATTTGACTGGCATTGACTGGGGACATGGAACAACCTTATTCATTTTGTCTTCTGTCAAATTGATGTTTTGTCCCTGAGAACTCCTTCCGGCTATTTTGAGAGCATGCTGATCACACGCTCTCCACATTTTGCATAGACTTAGTATCCTAAATATGAGAATGGTGATGAGGATATGGGTTCTTGATCCTATTTCCCGAAGTAAAGTTGTTCCAAGTACATTTTCTCTACTTGTATATAATGGGTTAAGAACCCAAATCCCTAAGGAAGTACCAAGTATTATGAAGGGTTTGGCATATCAGAAAATAGGAGTTGGGCCAATAGACTTCATGTCTTCAAAAATTAAATCATATCAGCATTTCCTAAATGTTGTTGTTACCTATGACATGTCCCCTTCCTATATGTTTCTGTTTAAAGGAGATGAAGGTGAAAAGGGAGACCAAGGAGAAATGGGAAGAAGTGGGAAACTTGGCCCCACAGGATCCAAAGGTAAAACCATTTATGGTGATTTGTTGTATGGTAAAAACATAGGGAGCAGTCCCTTACTACTTCAAGTTTCACAATGGCTGCGTTGACCCAGCATGCTTAACTTGGGTACTGAATTAGCCCAAATGGGCTGGGTTGGCACAAGACAGTAAGCCCTAAAAAACATCAAAATTTAAACCAAGGTTTTGTAACCTTATTAACTTTAAGATGTGTGGACTTCAACTCCCAGAATTCCCCAGCCAGCATGCTGGCTGGGGAATTCTGGGAGTTGAAGTCCATGCATCTTAAAGTTAATAAGGTTACGAAACACTGATTTAAACTATTCAAGCTTAGTATGTAATGCCAATGCAGCCTTTAGGCCTTCAGCTAATCTGGTTAAGTGTATTGTATGAACACAGCCATTCCATTAAATATTTTTACAAATATTTGTAAGCTTGTCTTGTTTCTTAATCCCAGAAGGAAGCTTGTCTTGTTTCTTAATCCCAAAACAAGCTTGTCTTGTTTCTTAATCCCAGAAGGAAAGGAATTATTTAAAAGGAAGCTTATAAAGAAAACTATCCAGAGGGTTACTTACGAGTGATTTTTTTCAGTGCTGACTCCTGGTGACTGCTTGGACTAGTCCCTGCAGTTTTCTTGGCAAGGTTTTTCAGAAGCAGTTTACCATTGCCTTCGTCCTAGGGCTGAGAGAGAGGGACTGGCCCAAGGTCACCCAGCTGGCTTTGTTGGCAGGACTAGAACTCCCAGCCTCCCACTTAACCACAACCCCGAACTGGCTCCCTATGAGGGAATTTTAGACTAAGCTAAACAAATATTTTAGAATTAATCTGTTTAATTTAAATGAATTTTAAAATGGCACCCTTTTCATCTTTTCAAAACCTCATGAGATGATAAAATGGCTTTACATGGACTTTGGTGTGGGTACGGCATTGTTTAATGCCACTGGATCTGGGCTGCCCAAATCAAGATGATCACAAGATGGCAGCAAGGCGACCCAAAACTTTCTCTTTCCAATCATGTAATGGTCATTCAGATTTTTGCAGGCCAGATACAGTAGCCCTATTGTTATTTGTTTGCTTGCTTGCTCGCTTGATTGATTGATTGATTGATTGGCTGACTAATATAGCCACCCATCTCACAAACGTAACTCTGGCAGCTTACAATAAAATAGATAAAAACCAATAAAATACATAATATAAAATAAAAACACAGCAGCCAAGCATCATAAAATAACCATCAACAAAGCCAAGAGACAGGCTTTATCACACTTCCAGAACCCCAGGCCTGGGCACAACACCAAGTTTTCAGGGCCTTGCAAAAGACCAGCAGGATTGGGGCTAACCTAATCTCAGGTGGAATTATGTTCCACAAGATGGGTGCCAGGGCAAAAAAGGCCCTCCTCCTGGGCCCTGCCAGCCAACACTCCTTAGCTGACGGCATCTAGAGCAGGTAGGATGGACAGGAACAACTGGGGAGAGATGGTCCTGTTATTAGCTTAGTCCCAAGCCATGCCTTGATGGCCCCACAGACTCTCTGTGGAGGATGGTATTTTAAAGTATGCAGAGATGCAAAGATAACTCCTGTCTGCTACTTTTGGAAGTAGCTGTATCTTTTCCCAGAATGATGTGGCAGCTGCAGAGGAATGAAATCCAAAGTATTGTACAGCTCTATTTATTACCTCCTGAATCACCAGCAGCTTGCTTTAAATACTGGTTGCTGGGAAACAAAATGGAAGGGGACTTTCAGTCTCTAGTTCAAGCTTGTGAGCTTCCCAGATGCATCTAGTTGTCACCGTGTGACCCAGAATGGTGGTCTATACAGCTCTAGGGTCTATCCAGCTGAATTCTTTTTAGGTTCTTACACATAATTGCCCTGCTGACGTGCACATCTTACCCAAAAGAGTATGAGAATAACAATCAGGGAGTTGCATATACATTTAATGATTTTTTTTTCTTAGTCATCATTTAAGAATATTTTTTGAAACCAAAACATAACTCCTACAGGCATCTCAGTGGGGAGTTTTGAGTGAGGCAGATAAGCTTGGAAATGTCATGTTGTTTCTTCTACAAGAGTGCAAAGAAAGGGAGAGAGTCAGCCATCTGCTACTAGACAACTCAGTATGGTACGTTAACAGAGGCAAATCCAAGTCAAACTCTCTTCAAAAGGGGGTCCATTCTGTTGGATTGGACTAGAAAAAACATATGCAACACCTTTTAAGTGGACTAGCGAAGGATATGTGACATTAAAAAAAAACAATTAGTTCGAAAATAGAATTCCTATCAATACTCCTGATGTTTTGCTTCCATAGCTCTCCTCCTACAATGTCTAGTCAGAAGGGAGAACTTCTCACCACTTCATAGCTACACAGATGTCTCCTCTTAATGACTGGAATGCTAGATTAGAACATGGCCATCTTAGTCCAGCATCTTCTTTCTTACAGCAGCCAGCAAAACACTGCTAGAATGTTCTAGAACTAGAGGTGGAGACACACCCCTTTTCTACCATTGTACCCTTCAACTGGTATTTGAAGGTACAGTGGTGTTGAAAAGTTTGTGAACCCTTTTGAATTTTCAATAGTTCTGCATAAATATGACCAAAAACGTGATCTGTTCTCCGCACAAGTCCTAAAACTAGGTCAAGAGAACCCAATTAAACAAATGAGTTTAAAACATTATACTTGTTCATTGGTTTGCTGAGGGAAGTGTTCCTCAATATTTATTTCAATATGTTTATTTATTTCAGTGCATTTCAAAATCTACCGACGTGTCTAAATTAATAACATTAGAAATGTAATATGTGATCTGTAAATTTAAAAAAATGAAAGAAAAAAATAAAACTGAAGGGAATTTAGCTAATTTGCTTGAAAATCCTTCTCCTAACCCTTCTGAAGAAAAAAAAAATGGTTCTAATATTGACAAAGCTCTGCTAGTTTTCTTGATTGAGATACCCTCTCCTGTGTACAAAGTATTTATAGCCATGGTTTATTGATATATTTGATATACTTTATATATAGCCTAGAAGAACACATGCATCTTTTATATGCAGCAATTCCTCCAAAATCATTTTAAAAGGCCTAGAAATTTCAATTATAGGACAAGCACAAACCATGGGTTAATGTTCTAATTCCCAAATTTCATGTCCACTTATTTTACCCAATCTTTAATCATTCCCTGAAATGTCCGATAAATGGAAAATAACGCTTTTATTATTAATCTCAACTTGAAGTCAAAAATACCTTGTCTCGGTCTCATGGTTTTTAAAACAGCCCATCACTGATTTAAATGGCATTTAAACTCAACATTCCATGGATAATAGAGATAATATCAATTCCAGCTACTCCTTTCAGTTTCTGATAAAAACACATTTCTGCTTCAGGAACATCCAATAAAAAATTCAGTTCCCTTAATAAACATGGAGTTTCAGAAACCATCAAAGCAAAACACTGAAAATACTGACATGAAGTATATCAAACATAGCTTCAAACTCAGCTTCAAAAATGCTTCAGAAAAGATAAGTTGATGCAAGTCATAATATTATCCAATGGACATTATTTAAAGAAGGCTTCAAATTTTGCTCTGAGACTCAATGAAACAATCTCCTATTTCTTGTATTTCCAACCCAGGAAACAAAGGAGCAATTGGTGATATTGGTGAGCAAGGAATGATAGGTAAAATTGGACCAATTGGCAGAAAAGGTAAGTATAAACTGATAACACTTTTTCACTGAATTGTAAACCCCAGTGCAAAATCACAAAACACCTGCTCTTTATGTTTCCCAAATGAAACAGAAGGGTTTTATTTCCAAAACAAAGGTACTGTTAACTTATGCTTCTCTTTCCATGGCTACCAGCATGAATCCATTCAGACTATCTTGGTATTGTCTATGGTTGTGGAAAAACTCTTTATAACTATGCATTTCGATTTCCCCAGTAATGCTATCTGTTGAATTCATTATTATTTAGGGCCCATGCAATTAAATACAAGAGCAAAGAATTTCTGCAATCTACAGTATGCTGAAGAGGGGAAAAAAGAATGAATAGGTTTAATTTAAAATAAGCTTTGACACACTTGAGTTCATTTCACCAAATGCTGAAAAATGTAAAATACAGAAGGAATATTCAGAAGCCTCTTCAATGGACAGATGAGAGAAAAATAGGTGGGAACCTCCTAGTCTCTGCTGGGAAGACTGTAACTCAGTGTGGTGCAAATGCAGAAGGTCATAGGTTCAATCCCAGTCCTTTCCAGTAGGATTAATAAAGTTCTCAGTCAATCTAGCCAAGATCCTCCATCCCTCTTGAGCAGATACACCCTTCGATACATCCCTATCAGCCACATTTCCTGAAAGCTCCATGTTCAATTTTATTTTGAAGGGAACTAAAGCCTAAACAGATGTGTGCATACGGGCCTTCCCTATGGAAGCAGGAACCTTGGGGTTGGCTAGTCAAACTTAATGCAGCTGTGTTGGGAGCCTGGCCAATAGGCATTTTGAGATTCATGTTATGGGGCAGTTCACTTACACATTCACTGAAGACATATGCATTTCTATGCAATGCTCAGATGTTTCAAGAACAAAATTGTTCCAGGGGCACTATCTAAATTGGCAACAACTGGTTCACTTTTCTTGTAGCCAACTAATTGTCTTTTTACTCTTCCTTCTATATTTTCCCACTGTTCCTTGCAGAACTCTCCTAACTTAGAAATATTGTTGGGGCTCCTTGCAATGTACTACATGCTTGAGATCTCCCCACAGATTTCCAATAATATTTAAATCCAGGGACTATGAAAGCCATTCCAAAGTTTTATCTTTCTTTCTTGTGAATACTTGAGGGTTGATTTGGAAGTAGGTTTTAGGTTTTGGTCTGCTTAAATACCTTATCTCTTTTCAGCTTCAATTTTATTATTCAATGCTGAATATGGCAATGAATTCAGAATTATAAACATCTGTATATATGGACCATTTTTCACTGGAAACACAATGCAGAAGTACAGAAGATTACTCTCTTTCCTCTCCAATTGTAGTCCTGTTGAAAATTATCCCTCTGCCTTTAAAAAAAGAAGTCCTATTGATGCCAATAAAGCTTTTTGACCTGCCTGGGGCTAATAGCAACTAGGGCTGAATTCTCATAGAGGGAGAGGGAAGATTAAACCTCTGCACCTCCTCTACTGCAACTCCATTAAAAAAAAAATCCTCCTCCAGGGTTCCCATTTATTCATAAATAGTTTCCTTAAGCGCCTCCAAAATCTGCAAAAAAGTTCTCATTCCAAAACTGAAGTTCATATCCTACATCCAATGGGGATTCGCTTATTATCTCATTATCTTTTTACAACAATTGTCCATCTCAGTTTTTGCTGCCTTTGCCTGAAGAAACAAAGGTACCAGCCACTAAGTCTTTAAACTTTTAATGGGTCATCTATTAAAATCTAAAGTTTACTATTCCAAAACAAAAGCTTTCAGAGCCTGCCTAGAAAAGTCTATATGGAAATAGATTCAATTTGTATTCAGTGGAACTTATTCCAATGTATGTAAAACTGAAGTGTTTACCTTGGCCATCCACCTTTGCACTTTATTCATTTCTCAAAATCCACTTTGCGAATGTGCCTGCAACTTTCTGATGGAAGACAATGTATTTTCTTCTTTATTTAGGTGACAAAGGGGTAAAGGGTGTATCTGGAGTCCCTGGAGGAAAGGGTAAAGCAGGTACACATTGTTTGCTCTTCTTTTGCATTTCTGAAGCACTTTTGTCCTTTAGAACAGGGATGGCCAATTCTAGCACTGTGTACCCTAGCCTGCTGGTTCAAAGGACAAGGAGGAAGAAGCATATTTTATTATACTAGCATATCCTATCACTATCACAGCAGGTGACAGTACCAGCCAACCTTGGCTGATCTCAAATAAATTAACCAGAGTGAGACGTGGGAAATAACTAGGAAATCCAAGGGCTGTAGGCTAAGCTAAGAAGTAAAGAAACATTCTAGAAGAAAACAGTGGCAAACAACTTCTATGTTATGGCTATGAAAACTATCTGGATATGACCATGTGGTTACCCAGAGTCAAGCTTGACTTGCGGAGATGTTTGTCTTTATCCCTCCACAAAAGTTCAATTGCCTGTAAAAAAAAAAAAAAAAAATTTTTTTTAAAGTTCAATTGCGCAGTAATGTCTTACCAACTAGCTGTAAGACAAAGATCAGGGAGGAAAAATCAAATGAAAGGCCCTCACTTTTTCAACTGGGTAATCCAGCATGCTTTCTCATTATATACTTCCTGAATCTATCCACTAGAGATTAAGAATTTGTGACTCCAGAGACATTGCTCAACTACAGCTTTCAGCAGCCACAGCAGTATGGTCCACCGTGACTTCAATAAATAACATCTGGAGGGCTGCAGGTTCCCCAATCTTCTAGATTTGATCTGGAATGAACTTTCACACTTTTCAGAGTTTTGTGATCCAGACTAAACGTTAAATATGCACATCAACACTCACAAAGTAGGGGGAACTATGCATAAAAATGTATGCAATTGAGGAAAAATGCTTGTAAAGCCTCATATTACAGGAAAAAAAACGTAAACATTAGGAGAAAAGTGCATGAAAACCTACATTAGAGAAGGACAATACATTGCAAATAGCAAAAGATTATTCTATTTACGAAAGAAAGGAGAGAGATCATTGAATT